ACGGAGTTTCACGCATGTTACCCAGGCTGGAGTGCAATGGCGCGATCTCGGCTCACCGCAACCTCCGCCTCCTGGGTTCAGGCAATTCTCCTGCCTCAGCTTCCTGAGTAGCTGGGATTACAGGCACGCACCACCATGCCCAGCTAATTTTTTGTATTTTTAATAGAGACGGGGTTTCACCATGTTGACCAGGATGGTCTCGATCTCTTGACCTCGTGATCCACCCGCCTCGGCCTCCCAAAGTGCTGGGATTACAGGCTTGAGCCACCGCGCCCGGCCCACAAATCCATTTTTATATTAATATCACCACAATAAAACTAGAAAATACCGAATGCTGGGAGCCATCTTCCATGGGTATGGGATACAGGGACAGAGAGGGCAACTGGCACACCTGATACAATCCCAGGAAAGGAAAGCACTTGGGAATGTGAATTTTCATTTGTATCTGTACGGTTCTGAAAACTGCAGAAAACTTTGCTGTGAATACTTATAGCTGCAGTTGTATACACATACCTAATTATTTCCTGGAGGGATTTTTTTTTTTTTTAAAGACAGGGTTTCACCATGTTGGTCTGGCTGGTCTTGAACCCCCGACCTCAGGCCCACCTTGGCCTCCAACGTGCTTGGATTACAGGCGTGAGCCACCATGCCCAGCCCCTGGAGGGATTTCTATAGATGTGGAATTTCTGGGGTACGTGTGCCCAATGCTATGGCTTTTGGGTAATATTGCCTTAGTTTCACCAGTGGGAGGCCAGGGCCTGCGTCCTTGACTACTCTCCATGGTTGTAAGCGGACATTTGATTAGTGATGTCTTTTTTAAACTTCATCAGCCAGGTGCAGTGGCTCACACCCGTAATCCGGGCACTTTGGGAGACTGAGGCGGGTGGATCACCTCAGATCAGAAGTTCAAGACCAGCCCGGCCAACGTGGCAAAACCCCGTCTCTACCAAAAACACAAACATTAGCCAGGTGTGGGGGCCCATGCCTATAGTTTCAGCTACTTGGGAGGCTGAGGCAGAGTTTGCACTGAGCCAAAAGCGTTCCGTTGCACTCCAGTCTGGGCAGTCCCTCCACAGAAACAACTCAATCGTCAGTATGATAGCATCTGCCATTGTCCTCTCCCGCATGTGAACCACCCGTTGCGTCCTTGGCCTGTTTTCCCACTGTGGTGTTGCCCAAAGGAGCATTTCTTCTGTGGACCTGTAGACCTGCGGTCCATCTTACATCATGTTTTTTTTTTGTTGGGTTTTTTTTTTTTTTTTGAGTCGAAGTTTTGTCATGCAGGCTGGAGTGCAATGGTGTGATCTCAGCTCACTGCAACCTCCAGACCCTCTGCACCCAGGAGCAAGCACTTGGAGCCCAGGAGGCTCAGGGTCCCTGGGGAAGCCCCAGGATCTGACTCCTGTAAGTAGGCATGGTCACTCACTTGGGCCTGGGTTGCATCCGGAGCATCAATGAAGTTGGGAGAGCCAGACCCCATCCTTTCTGGAGATGTGGGGTTGGACAGAGCTGGCCCTGGCTCAAGGGCTCAGACCACTTGGTACAGAACCCACCCAGAGGTGCAGATCTGGGGAGCAGCTGTGGACTCTCCACACTGTTGGGGAGCCTCACAGACCCACTCAAGTCCAGGGAAGTTTGCACTCTGCCTTTTTTTCCTCCTGGCTCAGCCTCCCACGTAGCTGGGATTACAGGTATGCGCCACCATGCCCAGCTAATTTTGTATTTTTAACAGAGATGGGGTTTTTTCATGTTGGTCGGGCTGGTCTCAAACTTCCGACCTCAGATGATCCACCGGCCTCGGCCTGCCAAAGTGCTGGGCTTACAGGCGCGAGCCACCGTGCCCAGCCTGCACTCTGCCGTTTGCTTTTTGTTTTGTTTTAGGCAGAGTCTCGCACTGTCACCTAGCCGGGAGTGCAGTGGTGCAATGCTGGCTCACTGCAACCTCCACCTCCCAGGTTCAAGCGATTCTCCTGCCTCAGCCTCCCAAGTAGCTAGGATTACAGGCACACGCCACCATGCCCAGCTACTTTTTGTATTTTCAGTCAAGACGGGGTTTCAGCTGGGCGTGTTGGCTCATGCCTGTAATCCCACCACTTTGGGAGGCCAAGGGGGGCAGATCAGCTGAGGTCGGGAGTTCAAGACCAGCCTGACCAACATGGCGAAACCTTGTCTCTACTAAAAACACAAAATTAGCTGGGCGTGGTGGCGCATGCCTGTAATCCCAGCTACTTGGGGGGCTGAGGCAGGAGAATCGCTTCAACCCAGGAGGTGGAGGCTGCAGTGAGCCAAGGTCGCGCCACTGCACTCCGTCTCAAAAAAAAAAATAAAATGGGGGGCCGGGCACGGTGGCTCAAGCCTGTGGTACCAGCACTTTGGGAGGCCGAGGCGGGTGGATCACGAGGTCAACAGATTGAGACCATCCTGGTCAACGTGGTGAAACCCCGTCTCTACTAAAAATACAAAAAATGAGCTGGGCATGGTGGTGCGTGCCTGTAATCCCAGCTACTCAGGAGGC